AAAGATCTATGGAGCAAAGCAGTCTTTGTTGAGGGCCTTTCACTGGACACAGTTGAGGGCTATCTAGGGCTTAGGACTAGATCTTGCTTGGTCCTGTGAATGGACCACTTGTTAGTGCTTGGCACACAGCAATGTACTCCTACCAATGTATTTCCACCCCAAACTCTGTGTTATGCAGCCCAGGAATTGTGCCATGGTATGAGCCAAATCTACAGTGTGAGGAGGACCATGAGATTTACCTCAAAATTGCCCTCACTGTCTCAATTAAATTGTGAATGTAGATGCACCACTGTTGATTCACATGAACACTATCACACAGAAAGGAGAAAAGGAAATGGACGATAGCACAAGGGGGAAAAGCTGAAGATGTCAGTGAAGCTGAACACAGAAGATGGAAATGTTTTCAGCACTAGGCACCTTCTTGCTCTCATTCTGCAATGACAGGGGATTTATCAGCCCCTGAGCTTCTCAGAGAGGGTCCTCTGCATCTGCTGTCCCTCAGTGTAAGGACAAAGAGGACAGATCTTCCTTCTGCACTGAGGAACAGGGAGACAATCAGCAACCAGGCAGCCATCCCTGTCCATGAAAGCCATCTGACTGGGCTAGTCATAAACCTGAGTTGTTTGTTATTCTAGTCATTTAAACCTGGTATGTAATATAGCACCTGCTGCTACTACACAGTAGGTCTCTATGGTGTGGAAATTTGGGGTTCCATTCTTCACAGAGAAAGAAGGTCAAAATCACTTCACATTAATGGATGCAGAGGAGAATGAGCGCAGAGACACCTGCCATAGGGTAGATGATATTCTGAAAGCTTGTCAAGCATCCACAAGATCTCATGCAAAATGCCTTACAAGAACTATGAGCATAAGTTCTATCTCTTATTAATTTGAACCATCAAAGATTTGATTCCTAATCTGTAATGCCTCCAGTTCCCAGGCACGAAAGTTCATTCAGACTGATATATTGATAAGCTGCAGATTGTAAGATGGTAGAAGAGTGGCTCAAAGAACTAAAACACAGTTTTAGCCCTCGGAAAAATAGTGGTTTGATTTCAAAATGTTTTCATTTTGCAATCTGTCTCCAAGCAAATATCCCACCAATTTGTTAATAGAAAAACACAGGATTATAGATTTAGATCATGTTTCATCTCAGTATGTGTACATATACCCCATGTAGTTTATGCAGACACTTACCCCATACCATGGATTATTAAACCAGTGAAGAAAACCACAAAGAGGTGATGGGTATACCAGAACACCTCATAGCATGATCTTCTGATGAGCTCAGTGGATGAAGTTATGATCAGAATTAAAGCTGCAGTTATCACAACTCCAGTTATTCCAGCTATGGTGGTTAGTACTTCTCCTGCTGTGTTCTAGAATAAAAATACACTATTAACATTAGTATTAGTAGTTATTGTTGTTATAATGGTTATTTTTATTACCATTTCTGTTGCTGCTATTACATGTGAAGCCAAAATCTAATTTCAGCGTAGGAATGAAACTAGAACAAGACATGGAAGCAAGGCAAACCTCCATTATATCACAGAAGAGCATGGAAAAACATCCCTCTTCTCTATTTCCACCCAGGCTTATACCAAACAGATGTGTAAATATTTGCTGCCACTTACTTGTTTCAGGAATTGAAAGGAGGAAATTAGGCAGTCTCATTAGTGCTTTTATCGATTTTGCTTATGTAAAAGTGTCCCATGTGAGGGTGATAAAGTGAGGTGCTAAGACACCTGCAACCATAAAGGTGTGGAGATCTTTTGTGATTATTTCACTTCAAAGTTTGGGAGGTTGTAGAAGCCTTGAAATGGTGCACAAAAATGGCATACTCTGATTTACTTCAACAACATATCTCATTTACCTGTTCCTTACATTTATCTGCAGATACATTGCATAATACCTGTGTTTATTTTTTAAAAGATGCATTTATATTTACATTTTTGTGCTTGTCAGTGATCAAACATTAATGTGCTGTGCTAGAACAGGTTCCTTCTTGTTCATGACTCACAGACATCAGCGGAGTTCTGGTACATCTGTCTAATTCCAGCAAAATAAACTGAAGTGAGAGTGAAGATGTGTTTGGAACACAACAGTCAGTTGCTGATTGCAGTTATAAAGTGCAAATCATGAAGAACAACAGTAAAAATCTCACATGCAAGATAAGAATCAAGCTAAATATGCCAGCAGAGTGTAAATGAAGTCCCCATTTGGTCTGCAAATCATGTATATCTGTTTTCCTTTGCTGATACACAGGTATTAAGGAGCTCAGCATGTCTTCTGGATCCTGAATTGGTTCTACAGCTTAATACACTAGGAGAAAAAAAGTACCCTATATTGTACTTTTAAAGTGCACTCATTTGATGTGGAAATCCTAGAGGTGATAAAATTCCACAATGCCATTTTTACAGGCACTTTTTACAGTAAAATCATTCTTTTAAATGTTCACACTTGACAGCACACAGTATATTTTCAAATTGGTACCTGTGAAGAGTGTGTTCAGATCCTATTACATATTAACAGGATTGATCTAAGTGATATTTTGAACATTTCCACTACAGTGGCTAGTTTGAATGTTGAGATGAAACAAGGAAAAATGTCAAAGACACTTAGTACATTGCTTCTACAGGGGTAGGATGAAACCGAATAGAAAGCCTGAATTGTTGATCTCAGAACTTCACTGAAGTTAGAAGCAATCTTTTGTTTGCTTTCCTTCATAATTTATTAGTTCTGAGTGTATCTACTGAGGCATAAGTGGGTGATAAAAGAAATATAAACATTAGAGGTTAGAGCAAAATCTAGACTGTAAATTGGAAGGTAATTGTGGGGCGTATTACTGTAAGAAATCTGGGAAAGGATCTCAAAAAAATTGTAGCCTTCCTCCTCAAGGGTATTTAGGATCTTAATGCTAATTAGAGGCCTACCTCATAATTATATCACCATGGGAATGCTTAGCGGAGAAAAAAAATGCATGTTGAAAGATGGTAAGTTCCTGTTCAGAGCTGTAAGCTTTGTTCTGCTCCTGGGGAGCACCTCACACACATGCAAGGAAAGTGATCACCGGGTGTACTGGAAGACTGTGCAGCTGAGCCCTTGTCTTGCTGTCCTGTTCTGATAAATCTGACTGCATTGTCAACCTGACTGCTTTCTAAAATGAAGACTTTTGCATTCACACCATTGACTACATTAATTTGCTTGATTTTCTTCACATTTGAGAGTTGTTTACTTGTTTGTTTCAATAGATGCAAAACCCACACTATTTAACTGGAAAGGAACTAAGAAAAAGCAGGACAAGCCTTGCAACTAAAAAATGCTACTGAATCCTATCAATGGTTATCCAGCCATCATCTCATCTTTGCTTGTTTCAGTGGAGCACATCACTGTTCAAAAGGGCCCCACTCTATGATCAAGCAGGCCTTACTGCAAGCTGACTATGTGGGAATTTTCTAAAGACCAGAAACTGTATGTATGGGAGTCTCACCAGGGCCATTTCAACCCTGAAATATGTAACAGTATGCAACAGGATACACAAGGAAATGTAACATAAATGTGATCTATATGGAATTCTAAATGGAATAAGGAAAACAAGCTTATTAACTTATGCATGGTTTACATGCATACCCTGCTGAAAGGCTCTGTTTTTCTTTATGTTATGAGCATTATAAGGAAGATCTTAAAATGCTGTTGTAGAGTATCCAAGGGAGTGGACAGTAGGCACAGTCATTTTTTCCCCAAAGCAAGCATAACCATTTATTTGCAGGGTTGAGGTGCCAGTAGTCCCACTTGGATCTGAAGAGCACACAGCAGAACTAGTGTCCCGCTGCAGTGTTTCCTATACACAGCAAGCTTCCATGTGGTTTTGCATGTGCTCTTTCCTGGGCAGCCACAGCTGACATGTAATGAGGCAGAATCAACTCCCAGATTGGAAAGATCCTGCTCAACAATGGGAAGAGACAAATAGCAAATGTGAAAGAAAGATTGTTAAGTGCTATTGCTGTTTTGTTGTTTTTTTCTATCTGAAAAGAAGTTGTGTTTGTTCTATGTACTGATAGTTTAGTTTGGAGGCTTTTTTTAAGTTCTTTGCAGGTTCATTTAATTGCCTACTATTCACAACACTCCTTATCCTCCCCCCACCAGCTGTCTCCTGACAAACTAATTAAAATACTGTAGACATTTCTTTGAGCTTAGTAACCTGAAAATTGCAGTTCTGAGTAAGTGTTTTCAGCTGAAATTGAGGTTAACCTTTGGCAGCACCTTCTTGCTCTGGTTAAAAGGCTTTGAAATACAGTTTTACTGACAATAGAATCCACAGAGGAAAACTTTTTAGATGAGGAAAACCAAAAAGTGACAGCTTACTGTTTCAAAGGTCCTGATTGGGTTCAAGTAGCTTTCATTTGGGCTCTTGCCAAGACCAGAAAGTTTATTCCGTAACTCCCCAGCTTCTTTTGACTGGCTGGTATGATACCGTTCGATGTTGATCAAGTGTGCCACAATATGGATGGCTGCATGAGAGAAAGAGTGGTGTGAAATTACTGATACACTTGTACATGTCCACAGTGCCAGGGGAAACTTCAGTATGCACACTATGAGCTATTTGAAAAGCTTGGGCATAAATTGAGAGCTTTGCATAGACTAAACTGACAATAAAAGGAGAATTTTATCAAATACATGTCTAATATGAAGCAACTGATTCACATTGGACAGGAGAGGAACAGCTCCAGGGTCACCTCTATGGTTTATGGTCAAGTGCCTTGCAGTCTTCAGTGTCATCAAAAGGGGACCCCTTGAGAGTTGATATAAAAGTGTTTTCCTCTGATTTCAAATGGTTCAAAATTAGGTAAACTGATTAAAATTAGTATTTTTAATTAATATACTAGGATGTGCCCTGGTTTACCATTGCTACACAGGACATTGTGTTGATTGTTTTAGGCATGGACCAGTTTGCAACTTGTACCAGTGATATTTAAGAGATGCATACAAAATCTGTCCCCTATTAACAAGTAGCTATAGCATTACATTATGCAGATGGAGCCTGAGGAAGCCACAGAAGCTATGATTTTAAGGGAGAAGTGCAAATCACAGTGTTAGATCTGATTTGCCTCAAGCATCATATATCACCTCTATTTCTGGCCTGCTCTCAAAAGGTATATGAAATGGTCAGCTTAGAAAAACAATCTTTATATTGAAGAACTCCCCTGTAATTACTTTCCTGAGTGGAAAAATGGTAATTTCAAAAGAGTGGAAAAGGAAGGACTTTGTTTTATTATTGGTTAATATAGATAAAGTCATAATCAAGCTAGGTGCAGAGTTTCATTTTTCAATATGAGAGATTCACAAATCCATTACAGGAAAGTTGTAATTAATGCAAATATTAAACACCAAAGGATGAAAAAATGACAATGAAAAATAATTATATGTTTACAGTAGAACTATTAGGATATGCTATTTCTAGTTTTTATAATTAGCTTCCTGTTATCATCTCTCCTTCAGTGGTTATCTGTTCCTGTCCCTGACCATTTAAAGAACATTTCTAAAAGGCAGTGTTTGTAGTAAACCCAATATGATCTATTTCCCTGAACAATATTCTCTTCAGAAAAGAAAGATTCCTTTTTCCTTTTTGCTTTTCTTCTCTTTTATTCCCCCTTTTTCTCTCTTCTGTCTTCTCTTTTGTGTCTCTTCTTTATTCTTTCTTTTTGTCTCTCTTCTTCCTTCTTTCCTCTTGCTTTTTTTTCTTTTTTAAAATTTTTAACTATGTGCATGAAAGTAATGTCTTAGTGTGCTAGTTACTCTGTAATCATAGATGAAAAGAGAGGATCAAATGTATAAGGACTTTGGTATTGCTAAGTCTTTTGGGTGCCTATCAACTTAGTGAGCTCCCTCACTCCATATGCCAGAGTCTAGCTCCTCTGCAGCACCTGGGGAGAGCTGTGTGCATGGGAATGTGAGTGAAGGTAGAATGCTGTCCATGTAAGTGTTTAAAGCAGCCAGTGCAAAAAAGGGTAGAACATTCTACTCTTCCCCTCAACAGCAGGTTCTGCCATGTGTCCAGGCTGGGGAGAGGCTATTTTCACTCAGTTACTTCTGAGGTGGTCCTTCTAGAGCAGTAGATGTCCTGTGGTTGGTTGATTGTCAGGTTGCACTTCATTCAAAATTTAGTGTTAGCTTAGGGTCTCTCCCTCACCATTCGTTGACACCTGCTTCACCTCACTGAGCCATGTTTAGATATTCACTGGGAGATGAAAGATCTATTTTAAAATCCTTGTTACATTAAATTTAAAGTAAGGCTTTAAACCGAATTGCATGTTTTAGTCACTGGGCTGACTGGTTATTCTCTTTTGAGCTGTCTCCTGATGAAACCTTTAATAAAAATAATCAAATATTTATTGACACAGGCATCCCAAGTGAATATCCCAAGCACCCAAACTACAAAATCAAGCTCCCATTTTCTCTGAATCTTTGGCCCAATGAATAATAAATTATTTATACAAGCTGGCATAGCTTCAGCAGAATGGAGACTGAATCCAAATAGATAAAATAAGCCTGGAAATTAGAAGACAGATTCAAGCCATCAAAGGAATGAGACTCAAAAATAACCTTTCAATAAATGGGATAATGGGATCAAGCAATCTAAGCAGCTTTCAGCTGAAGGTTGGTCATTTTATGAAATAGTGCATATGGTGCGACTGTGAGCATCAGAGGGTATTGGACTCAGTGACCCAACATGTCCTGTGTACATTGTTATGGATTAGGTGGTGCATATGAAACAACCTGGCCAGCATCAGTCAGGAGATGATTCCCACAGCCTGCATGTGAGAGGGTGCTCTCAGCACCTTGGCATTCTGGGATGCTGGAAGGAATGTTACACTAGACCAAAAGCAGCAAGCGAGATGTATGGATTCAGACTGTCGAAACACAAAAGCCTAGGAAGTTCTGATCTGCATAGTTTAGGTGGCAGCTGTGTGGGGGCTGTAGCAATCTGTTCCCCAGCATACAACTGATGTATAAGCAGTATATAAACACTGTTTATGTATTTAAGTGTAACAGCACTTTTAAGTGCTGAGTGGGAAGGAGGAACTGTTCCTACAAGGGGCTCCTTTCAGAACAGATGTGTTGGCCTGGTAAGGATGTTACCACATCCAGCTGGAAGGGAACCATGTCATTGTTTGATGAGGGTCTTATTTCTCTGACATCTCAAAGAGCTCACTCATAGGACAGGTGTGTGGGGCAACAGACTGCTGTCTGCAGTACGTCAGTGACAGGTTAGTGGTTGGACTTGACAATCTTAGAGGTCTCTTACAATCTTGATGATTCTATGATTCGAAGCTGTGGAGTTACATGCTGCCC